TATGATGATTCTACTTCCTGGACCAAAGCAATCTTTCATCGCACTCTTTGAGTGGCAACTAAATGCAGTCAGATGGTCTAGTTGATCCACATCATCAAGAACAAGAAGAACCCTTCTGTTGCATGACCTATTTTTTATCACCTCAATTCCTCGATCAACATTTCCCACCTTTCTCACTTTTGTCTTTAGTATATCAGAAAGAAACTGCTCTTGCAAATGAATTTGATTCTTTTGGTGCTTAAAATTCTCCCTAACATTTGCTAGAAAACTTTCGCATTCAAAAAAATGGAAGAAATGATTAAAAACAGCTTTGGCAATTGCTCTCTTACCTATTCTGTGCATTCCACATATCCCTACTGTGCGGATATCATTAGTTCCAATACTCAACAAAGAATTCATGTATTCCATACGTGTAGCTATTCCAACGGGATAGGTAGCTACATGTAAGTATGTGTGATTCAACACACTCAAAATATATTTTACAATTTTCTTGATGAAATCTGCTTCATGCCTGTTCATGATGTTTCTGTTGGGAAACGTGCAAGTTTTTAAAACTTTTTGAGGGATTTGCAATCATGGATTTTGATTCATCACATAGAGACAAGTTTTATGCAAAGATAAATAAAAGATGATGTATAATTCAATAAACAGATTGAATACTTACATCAAAGGTCTGAGTAAACCTTTTGAATTTTCCTCTAAAGTGAATGTTCTCACTTATTGTAGATCCCTTTAGCAAGATCATTTCTCTTTCTTCTTGATTATTATGTTCCCTTTAGGAATCACCAATATGCCTTGATGAATGACCTTGGAATCTAGGCTTGTGGTAACCTCCTTAAGAAGAGAAAACAAAACCCTAAAATCTAGAGAGAGAAAGTGTATTCCTTTTTCTTGTTCTAAAAGTCACCCCTAAAATATACATGAACTCATGTATATTTAGGCGAAATAAAAATAAGAATAAGGAAACAATAAATCATTCTCCATCTCAAATTCAACTTTCTCAATTCTAACATGACTCCAATATCAACTTGGGCTATTGGTGAGAATCCTTTTGGGCTTACTATTTTTTTGGCTCCTATAAATTAATAATTGGTCCGGTCCATTAAACCATGGACCCAATTCAATTAATTCATAAATTAATTTCTACTCCACTAAAAGAAATTAATTGCACTCCGATTAAATAGTAAATAACCTCTAAGTCAATGTTGCACTTTGACCCCTCTATGCTTAATTATTTATCAGATAATGAAAGCCATCAATCCGACAACATAATTAATATAATTATTTTGTTACCTTTGATTATTTCCGGTTCGATCACAATAAAATATTTATTTGACAAAAAATAATAATAATTTATTAAATAAATATATGTAGAAAACATTTGTCTAAAACATACGAAGGCCTTCGAATTTAATTTGTGATCAACCATAATCAAAACAAAATAAATACAAATAGCACTGATGCAAATATTGAGAATATAGACCTCTAATTATTAATTACATAACTACCCAAAGTGCCGATCTAAGGATCCTGAGGTATCCGCCGAACAAATCAAAGTAATTATTAATTAATAAAAGAGTCTATACTTCTCTCATACTTGAGAGTCAAAAGCCATGACTATGATAAAGAGCAATTGCATACGACAGCTCTCGCAATATATCTCAATCTATCGTGGACTCGGTTTAAGTCTTAACTAATTAAATGTCCATCCATAATTACCGACTTTAAACCATTTATGATTACTAATTTATAACATTGTATTAATTGCCATTATATACATATATAAATATATTTTGTAATCAAGTGGACAAAATCAATTCCATAATGAATCAAAAAATAATACATTCCATTCACCAATTGTATAATGCTTTAATAATAATATCCAGATAAGAAACCATGACTTTTACAATCCAAAATTAGAATTTGCTATGCTAGGGCACACATATCCTAACAGCTCCCACTTGCACTTATAGCCAATTCGAATCACATCTAACTCCCATGTTCTCCATATGACGATCAAACATGTTGATCGGTAAAGCCTTTGTGAATGGATCAGCAAGGTTATGTTCCGATGCAATCTTGGCCACAAGTATATCTCCTCACTTTACTATACCACGAACCACATGATGTTCCCTCTGAATGTGTCTTGTTCCTTTATGAAATTTTGGGTCCTTGGTTTGGGCTATAGTTGCACTATTGTCGCAATGAAGCGTCATAGGCCGATCTATGTGCTCCATAACCTCCAGTTCAATTAGAAAGTTTCTCAACCAAACAGCTTCTTTTGCTGCCTCAGAGGCTGCAATGTATTCTGCTTCCTTGGTTGAGTCAGCAGTATAACCCTGCTTGACACTCTTCCAACTAATGCCCCTTCATTGAACTTGAACACATATCCAGATATAGATCTCCTGGCATCTGGATCTGATTGAAAATCAGAATCCGTATATCCGACTGGAACCAGATCATCACCTCCATAAATGAGCATTAGATTCTTAGTTCTTCTTAGGTATTTTAAGATATTCTTCACAGCTGACCAATGATCAATTCCAGGATTGGACTGATATCTACTGATAATCCCTACAGAGTAGCAGATGTCCGGTCTGGTACAGACCATGGCATACATGAGACTACCAACTGCCGAAGCATATGGTACCCGCCTCATTTGCTCAATTTCCTTATCAGTCTTGGGAGACTGATCATTAGAAAGAGCCAACCCATGTCTAAATGGCAAAAACCCTTTCTTAGAGTTTTCCATTCCAAACCTGATTAGAACTTTGTCAATGTAAGACTCTTGAGACAAGCCTATTTTCTTTTTAACTCGATCTCGCATAAGCTTGATCCCAAGAATATAGCTTGCTTCTCCAAGATCTTTCATCTCAAATTTATTGAACAACCACCTTTTAATTGATGACAAAGCCTCTACATCATTACCAATGAGTAAGATGTCATTAACATATAAAACGAGAATCATGATGACATTACCCTGTTTTTTCTTATAAACACAAGGTTCAAACACGTTTTGTTCAAAGCCAAATAATTTGACTGCCTGATCAAAACAAATGTTCCATGTGTGTGAAGTTTGCTTAAGTCCATAAATAGACCTATTCAACTTACATACATAATCCCCTCTACCTTTAACCACGAAACCGTCTGGTTGCCTCATGTAGATGTCTTGTTCAAGATGGCCATTTAAAAATGCCGTCTTATCATCCATCTACCATATCTCATAATCATAATAAGCACTAATGGCCAAAAGAATGCGAATAGATTTAAGCATTACAACTGGTGAGAATGTATCCTCATAATCAATACCTTTACGTTGAGTAAAGCCTTTGGCAACCAGTCTAGCTTTGAATGTCTCAACATTCGCATCCATTCCTCTCTTTCGTTTATAGATCCACTTACAACCAATGGGCTGAACCCTACTAGGAAGTTCTACAATATCCCAGACTTTGTTAGAATACATAGATTCCAACTCTGATTTCATTGCACCTTTCCAATGATTCGCATCTATATCGGTCAACGCTTCCGCATAGCTTACTGGGTCTGACTCATGCTTATCGGGGACGGCCTCATAGACCTCACCCAAAAGCGTGAGTTTTTCGGGTTGGATGATAGTCGTCCCACTACGCCGAAGGATCGGTGCAGGAATCGATGTACTAGATGATGGTAATTCAACAGGGATTTCTTGTATCTCATCATTCTCAGTATTTATATTAGATGTGTCCACAGTGGGTATATCTGATGTGCCAACCATCTCCTCTAACACTATCTGGCTACTAGGTCTGTGGTTCATAATATAATCCTCCTCCAGGTAAACAACATGAGTACTGACAATAACCTTATTGTCCATGGGATCATAAAATAATTCACCTCTAGTGCCCTTAGGATAGCCAACAAATAAATATGCATCCGATCTTGCTTCCAACTTGTCTGCCTGTTTCTTACGCACGTGTGTTGGACACCCCCATATATTCATGTGATTTAAACTAGGTTTATGTCCAAACCACAGCTCATATGGCGTTCCTGAAACAGACTTGGATGGAACACAGTTCAAAATATGTATCGCTGATTCTAAAGCTAATCCCCAAAATGATAGAGGTAATGTAGCAAAACTCATCATAGATCTAATCATGTTAAGTAAAGTTCTGTTTCTCCTTTCTGCCACTCCATTCTGTTGAGGGCAGTCAAGTGCGGATAACTGGCGCACAATACCCTCATTGACCATATGATCCTTGAACTCCCCCAGGAGGTATTCACCTCCTCGATCAGATCGAAGTGTTTTGATAAGTTTACCTAATCTACGCTCCACTTCCGCCTGAAACTCACAGAATTTTCCATAAGCTTCTAACTTGTGTCGCATTAGGTAAATATATCCAAAACGTGAATAATCATCAATGAAAGTGATGAAGTACTCAAACCCTCATCTCGCTTGGGTGTTCATGGGACCACACACATCTGTGTGCACCAACTCTAATTGTTCTTTGGCTCTATATCCTTTGGCTGAGTAAGCCCTTCAAGTCATCTTTCCTTCAATACAAGATTCACAAGTTGGCATAGGCTCCTCTGCCTCACAAGGTAATAAACCTTCTTTAACCAACCTTTGAATCGTATTTTGATTGATGTGACCCAATCGTAGATGCCAATGATACAATGAGTTTGGAGAAACTGCTTTTCTTTTAACATTCAATCTAGATGAAGTTGCATTTAATTCATAATTTTGCATTTGATATGAGCTAGGAGTTAAAACATATAGATTATCTTTCAATGCACCAGAAGTTATAACACAACCATTTAATTTAATTAAAACATTTTTTCCAAAAGTAAAAATATAATTTTTGCAAACCAACGAAGAAACTGAAATTAAATTGTGCCTAACATTTGGCGCATAAAGACAATCTTCTAAAATAAGACTCCTCCCACTATCAAACTGCATATGAACCACTCCCACTGCTTTAGCTTCCACCTTGGCATTAGATCCCATATGCAAGTATATCTCTCCTTCATTGAGGCTTCTGGACTCCTAGAATTCCTGCAATGTATTGCAAACATGATTAGTGGCTCCAGAATCTATGCACCAGGAATCTATAGATTCAACCACATTACATGCCTCAACAATGAATATACCTTTTCCTTTGCCTTGTGTGCGAAGTATTGGGCAGTTAGGTTTCCAGTGTCCCGGTTGACCGCAATGGAAGCAGTTTCCTTCGCCTTCAACCCGCACTTTCTTCTTTCCCTTATCCTTTTGGATTACTTTGTTTGGCACAACCACAGTTTTGGCACCATCCTTCTTCTTTTTCTTGCCCTTCCTCTTGGGCCTAGAAGTGGATGGTCCAGCAGACTGAGTGTAGTTGATAGATGCACCCTTACTTTTGATTATCCCTTCAAAGGTTACCAACTCATTCAAAAGTTCAGCGAGTGTGTACTCAAGCTTATTCATATAATAATTAACCCTAAAAGAGTTAAATGAGTCTGACAATAAAGCGATAATCATGTCAACCTGAAGTTCACCATCCAAGTTGCATCCAAGGATCTCCAGTTCATTTAAAAAACCAATCATTTTTAAAGCATGTTCCCGAACTGAAGTACCTTGGACCATCTTAATGGTCATCAAATTTGTCATAGCATTTTGGCATGCACTCTTACCAATTTGCCTAAACATTTCCTTAAGGTTAAGTATGATGTCTGCAGAAGTGAGATATTGAAGATGTTGACTTTGGAGTACATTCGAGAGTGAAGCAAGAATGTAGCACCTAGTCATCTCATCTGCTTTATTCCATTTCTTAAAAACTTCATGCTCCTCAGGAGGATCCTCAGGCAAAGGTGGAGAAGGTCTAGGAGTAGTAAGCACATAATTCAACCCCTCATATGTGAGTACAATATCTAGTTGCCTTTTCCAATCGATATAATTAAATCCAGTTAATCGCTTTTCTTTTAGTATGTTTGCAAGTGGACTGAATGGACTAGTCATGATAAATCTGAAAATAAAAGCATTCATACAATAAATAAAATGAATAATAATAATCATGCAAGAATAAAATAATTAATTAATTATGGGTCCCTTAACCACATTGCATGAAAAAACGGACAATCAATATGCCAATAACTTATCCGGTTGGCGGAATTCATTATTGCTTATTGACGAGAACAACTCATTATTTCCATATCTCTTTAGACAATGCCTTATCTATATATGAAATAATTCCCGATTAGATTTAGCCTTTCTAAAATCACCTAGTATAGACCACTCCGTTGGGGAGCTAATACTATTGATTTTAGATTGAGTGTATAACATAATTAATACTCCAACGAAAAATCAAATATTAAATATATTGCCATTAATAGATTAAACTCTTTAAATCATGCGTTGGGCCTTATTTTTTAAGATCTAACTATAATAGTTATTTAATAAATATATTTTTGTGAGACAACCATTCTTGTAATCTAGACTCTTTAAATCATGCGTGGAGCCTTATTTTTAAAGATCTAATCATAATGGTTATAATTACGAAGGCCATGGGGTAATGTATAAAAAATTCCCGCTCCCGCTCAATTTTTTAATAATATAAAACTAGGTTTTCAATTTATGATTTAATGCATGCAAAGCGCCTTGATTTTAATCCAATTAAATTTAGAAAATATATGAATTTTAAATGATTCCCTAATATTTAATTTGAGGCAAAAAATAATCTACAAAAATAATTTTTCTGTTTCCCAATAAATGCCCTCAAATTGATTAACAATCGAATCCAATTTATCTTCATAATTTAATTAATATAAATCAAGCCATTTAGTTAAAAAATCATGGATCCAATGCATGAACAATTATAATAAGTATTAAATTATTCCATGCATCAAATAAAAGACAGAAGCAATATAAATGGCCAATGGATTCAGCTTTTAACATTTCAAAACTATTCTTGCTGTACGGGCGTCCTTTAACTGTCTGTAAACACCCATAGGAAGCTTGTACTCGTCAAGAGAAGCAAAACGCCGCTTGGAACGAGCCCGGAGGACCCCACACGCGCTGGCACGCGCCTAGGGCAGGCAGCAAGACTCAGCACGCGCTCCCACGCGCCCCCACGCGCCGGCACGCACTTGGGGCACGTGGAACGCGCCCTCACGCGCACCTATGCGCCTGAGGTGCGTGGGACGCGCCTCCACGCGCCTTCACGCGCGTGGAGGACAAAACTTCCTTGGCTGGCGCGTGCAATGCAGGCGCCAGTATGTGCCTTCTCCTGGCGCCTGTGGAACACGGTCCAGGCTCACCCACTTGCGCCGCATCTGATCCGGGCCACCTCCGACGCCCCTTCTCGCCGCCGGCGAAGCTCCGGCCAACGGAAAAACGCTGAAAAAATTCCAAAAATTCCAGAAAATTAAATTAAGCCTCAAAAAAATTCCCGAAAAATTCAAAAAAATTCCAGAAAATTACTAAAGCATAATTTAACCCTTTCGGACCCTCTTGAAGCTTCATAGCATCCTTTGATGAATATTACATGGCTTTAATAAATACTTACAATTTGAAATACAATGGAAAAAATAAAATTACATCATTGAATTTTCAAACGGCTAAAACAAAGCCTTAATTACATTCATCCAAAAATAAAATTACATTCTATAAACCTATAAACTTCATCCATGGCCCAAACACACATCATCATCCATTCACAATTATACATACATCATCATGTATTAATATATATCAACATAATAAATCATACATCAACATATATTAATAATTTTATATATGTATATATAATTTGGATCCATGAATATGATTTTTATAAACACATGTTCTCTAGTAATGAATCAAACCACGTGCTCTGATACCACTGTTGGGAAACGTGCAAGTTTTTAAAACTTTTTGAGGGATTTGCAATCATGGATCTTGATTCATCACATAGAGACAAGTTTTATGCAAAGATAAATAAAAGATGATGTATAATTCAATAAACAGATTGAATAAGAGAATTGGCGGTTTTCTCCTCCTTTGAGGTAGGGGTTCTTAATGTACAATTTCTTGCACCTTAGTGAATTTCCTTCTTGATTTTTGCTACTTAGCATGTTATTTTGGTTGATCTTCTTGTAAATGAATAAATTGTTCTAAATGGGTTACATGACTATGTGTTTTAATTGATATTATGTGTAATAGCATGCTTGAATGATATAGAATCCATGTCTTACATACTTAATCCTGCTAGCTTATTGTTGAATGTAAGTAATGTGATAATTTCTTTGAAATTCTTGTAAAGCATGTTAAATGGCATGAGTTTAAAATTACATGTGTGTTGATAAATATTGGTATGACATGAAAATAGGAAACATACATGCACTTCATTGGAAAGAAATGGGGAATGTTGTTTTGAAAAATAAAAAATAAATATATAGATATATATATATATCTTTTTGGGAAAGAATTTTGATAGGGATTTTATGAAAAACTCGGCCGCCTAGGAGTTACCTAGGGACCGCGGCGTTAGTGAGGCCTAGAGGGGATTAGGGAGATCGCCCTAGTGTGGTTGAGTTACCTGAGCCCCAAATGACGCCATGGAGTTGCCATGGGTCAGGGACAGTGGCCAATCCTCCTCTCGTGCTGCCATGGAGTTGCCATAGGATGGGTTCACTAACGGTTTTGAAAATGATAATGGAAATGGTTTTGGAAAAATGGGGAGTGACATTGTATGGCACGGCATCTCATTGCATGGTATATTTATTTGTGGTATTGGGTTAATGATGTAGTATCGTAGTTATACTTTTACTTCAGGCTTGGTATGATCCCAATTTTCTTATTCCAATTCATTGTGTGGATTCACGGGGTCTCAAGAGGTGTGCCTTAGGCACTTCCTACTGAGCTTATGCTCACCCCTTCATTTTAACATTTTTTTCAAGAAACGGGAAAGAAGTGGTGGATGACATTCTACCACTGACTTAGAATGGATTAGGAGCTTCTTTTGTTGTTTTTGTACTTAGGTCTCACTATTTTTGTAAGACTAAGCATAATGTATTTTGTACGACGACTTATGAACTTTTCATATTTTAATTACACCTATGGGCTGTAACTTTCGTATAAGCTATCTAAATGTTGCAAAATATGGACATTTGATATTAATCTTGTAATTTGGGACTGTAAATATAATATTTGGATGATATAGTAAGTGGTTGTACCACCATGGAGTGTATTATATGATATTTGTTTTGGGACAGGTTAAAAATGCATTTAAACAGGTTGTTGTAGGATGATTTTTAGCGAAGGTCATGCCGAAATTTTTTTTTAAAAAAAATTTGGCATCATTTAGGGTCGTTACAAATTTGGTATCAGAGCCTAGGTTCGAAAACCATTAAGACGACGGGTAGAGACCTACCTAGGGTTGTCTGTGAAGTCATTTGCATTGTTATTTCCTTATTTACAAATGTGTTTTGCTATGTGAAAAAGCATGCTTAACTGCTTACTTGCTTACGTGCTTATGTGCTTATATGCTTATATTAATGTGTTCATTGCATAGTATTACATGCTAAATGTTTGTACAGTATCTTTTTGCGTTAGGTTGTTCACGGTTGGACCTTAGTGTTATCGTTATTGAATTGTTTTCTTTGTTTTATAGAATGATGTCACGGCGTGAGGAAACCAGGGAAGTTGGCCCTAGACTGACTAGGGGTGATGTTGGCGAGAGCTCCAGCTCCAATTCGGAGGAGCTAAATGATGAGGACACACTTCTTAAGGCTTGATTCCCCCAAGAGTTGTCCCCACAATGAGGGATAATGTTGAAGCACCCGTAGAAATGGGGGAAGGTTCTGTGGTATTGGAGTTGAATCGTTTGTTGCAAAATGCCGTGAGGGCAATGATTGCTGCTCAGTTGCAGTCGGCACCACAACCTACAATTCAAGTTGAGGAGACGCTAGCTCAGAAGCGTCTCAAGATCATTAAGGGGTTTTCCCAGTTGATGCTAGTTATGTTTGAAGGCGGTGCAGATCCAATGGTAGCAGATGACTACCTGGATCAAGTTGAGACTCAACTAATTTCAATGGATGTGACGGAAGATCATTGGAAGATCATCCTAGCTACTTAAAAGTTTGCTAAGGATGCCAAACTATAATGGAAATCGATTACGAGCCGGTACAAGGTGGAGGAGATGAGTTGGGATAAGTTCAAGGAATTGTTTTATGAAAAGTATTTTCCGATTTCTAAAATATGGGAGCTAAACGACCAGTTTCATAACCTTATCCAAGGCAATATGTCAGTGGCGGAATATGAGAACAAGTTTACTTCACTTTCTCGCTTTGCTCCAGAAATTGTGAGAGATGAAATTAACAAGACTCGGAAGTTTGTTTCCGGTCTTAATGATCGAATGAGACTGTTGATCATAGCACAATTCATTAAGGTTTATTCTGAAGCAGTGGAAAGGGCATTAATGCTGGAGGCTGACATTAAAGATAAGGATGCAAGAAGGGAGTAGTGGAAGCAAAAGAGGAATGCAGGGTCATTTTCAGAGGGACCTTCAGGGAAGAGGAACAGGGGTGGTTCATCTCAGTTTCAGGGGCAACAGTCAACAAGATCCGCTCCTACCACTCTTATGGCAGCAGGGTCTGCAAGAAGTGGTGTCATTTGTTATCTTTGTAATCAGCCAGGTTACTACAAGTTAGAGTGTCCACAGACATCGATTAATTCTAGGGCTTGTTTTAGTTGTGGCCAATTTAGTTGTGGCCAATAGGGCCATAAGGTTAAGAATTATCCTAATCAGGGAGCAGGCACCGGTAGTGGCAGAGGGTCACAGTAGAGCCCGTCACAGTCGGCTACAGTTCAGTCAGGTTTCAGACCACCACCATCACAGCCTTCCATATCCTCTCCGAGTTTACGGCCAGTTAGGAGGGATACTCCTACTATGTTAGTATAGCAGTCAGGTGTTCAAATTGGTAATTCTCAGGCACAGGCACCACAGGGACGTGTTTTTGCGCTTGCTCAGACCGATGCAT